TATCATCTTTTATATACTGATGTTATCTACTGTATACTGATCTTATTCTCAACTTTATGCTTTATTATAAATTAGTATTTGATACACTTTTTTTGTATAAGAAATTATGTCATTTTCAGCAACTCCCATGATTTATTGATCAAAGATGAATAATATATAATTTATAATGTGATAACTTTGATAACTTACCTGACATAAGTCATAAATCCTACAGTGTTGGAGTTGTAGTAATAGACTTCGTATAAACAAGACCCCCTGGACAGTCCCTAGACACTACCATATCATAAATCCTACAGTGTTAGAGTTGTAATAATAGACTTTGTATAAACAGGACCCCCATGGACAGTCCCTAGACACTACCATATCATCAATATGTACAGTTCTGCATATATAGAGAATATGGGTTTGGAAAAAAAAAATGAAAAGAAAACTTTGATAGACTGCCAAGTCAATCATCTAAAATCTAGTTTAGGCCTCTTCAAAGTTACTTTTCCTAGTATGCATATATATCTATTTATCAAAATTGACCTGCTCAAATTTTTAATTTTGCATTTTGGCATGCTAATGGAGAAAAACCCTAGAAATAATCAAAAGTTAGCATTTATCAAAGTCAAGTACCAATTTACATTTAATTTGAAATCAATTCAGTAAACAGTTACTGGTACATGTTAAATTTGATTTCATGTTAAATGAGGGGGCAAATCAAATTTACACTGTTATGTGAGGGCTGTTTGTATGTTACACTGTTACATGAGGGCTGTGCATATGTTACACTGTTACGTGAGGGCTGTTTGTATGTTACACTGTTATGTGAGGGCTGTGCGTATGTGACACTGTTACATGAGGGCTGTGTGTATGTTACACTGTTACGTGAGGGCTGTGTGTATGTAACACTATTACGCGGGGGCTGTGTATATTTTACACTGTTACGTGAGGGCTGTGTGTATGTTACACTGTTACATGAGGGCTGTGCGTACGTTACACTGTTACGCGGGGGCTGTGCATATGTTTCACTGTTACGTGAGGGCTGTGTGTATGTTACACTGTTTCATGAGGGCTGTGCGTATGTTACACTGTTACGTGAGGGCTGTGTATATGTTACACTGTTACGTGAGGGCTGTGTGTATGTACACTGTTACGTGAGGGCTGTGCATATGTGACACTGTTACATGAGGGCTGTGTGTATGTTACACTATTACGTGAGGGCTGTGTGTATGTTACACTGTTATACAAGGGCTGTGTGTATGTTACACTGTTACGTGAGGGCTGTGTATATGTTACACTGTTACATGAGGGCTGTGCATATGTTACACTGTTACGCGGGGGCTGTGCATATGTTACACTGTTACGTGAGGGCTGTGTGTATGTTACACTGTTACGTGAGGGCTGTGTGTATGTTACAGTGTTACGTGAGGGCTGTGTGTATGTTACACTGTTATGTAAGGGCTGGGCATATGTTACACTGTTACGTAAGGGCTATGCGTAAATTAATCCCTTTTATATCTCACACATTAGTACCTGTCCATTGAGGTAATGGTTTAGTTTTAATGAGAGTCAATGGCACGGTTTATGACATGGCTAATGGCATTATATAAAAGTATTGGTATTAACATGAATTCCTCTACTTAAATCTATTGTCACCAGTTATTTAATGCCTCCAGTTCTTGTGGGTGTTCTCATTCCAAACACCATGTCTAAAGTTTGGTCAGTTTCTCAGCATTTATCAAAATATTGTATTTGAAATATTTTCTGAACAATTAAAATGTTTAATAAAACATTTGATGCAGAAATGTTAGCTTAGAAATGCCTTTCAGGGGAATGTAAACTTTTTAAACCAAAATGAAATAACTAGTTAATAAATAGGGGTTGAAAGTTTATTGAAGCTGACAAGTCTTTGAGTTTTCATGCTTTATATCCCTTTAAAGTCAGGGAGAGGAGGCATCCCACTGAGAATGGCTAAGAATGGCCAACCTAATCTTGTTGTTCAAAAAATTATCTCTGGGCAGTTGCCAATATGACTTACACACTTCAATAGTGCATTGTAATAAACGACTCATAAATACCTACACAAATATTGATTCAACTTTACAACTATTAAAAATTATAACAGCGTTTTCAGGTGGATATTTCAACTCTTTCCACCTTCTAGGTTTTTATTTTCAGTTTGAAATGAAATAATTAAGATGTATTAAGTCTTTACTGAATTAATTGTTGATTTTGACCAACTTTTTGTGTAACATTTAAGCAAATTAGTCGTCTTGTATTGTTATAAAACCAATGAACCACAGTTGAATGATACTCCTCCATTCAGTGATATAAACAATTATAGATATGTGATCATATATCTGTTTGTGATATCAGCTGGTTTAAGTATATTTTGGCTCTATTCAGTGATTTCCCTATAAACATTTATAGATATGTGATCATATATCTGTTTGTGATATCGGCCGGTTTAAGTATATTTTGACTCCATTCAGTGATACAAACAATTATAGATATATGATCATATATCTGTTTGTGATATCGGCCGGTTTAAGTATATTTTGACTCCATTCAGTGATATTAACAATTATAGATATATGATCATATATCTGTTTGTGATATCAGCCAGTTTAAGTATATTTTGACTCCATTCAGTGATATAAACAATTATAGATATGTGATCATATATCTGTTTGTGATATCGGCCAGTTTAAGTATATTTTGGCTCCATTCAGTGATATTAACAATTATAGATATGTGATCATATATCTGTTTGTGATATCAGCCGGTTTAAGTATATTTTGGCTCCATTCAGTGATACAAACAATTATAGATATATGATCATATATCTGTTTGTGATATATCAGCCGGTTTAAGTATATTTTGGCTCTATTCAGTGATTTCCCTATAAACAATTATAGATATGTGATCATATATCTGTTTGTGATATCGGCCAGTTTAAGTATATTTTGGCTCCATTCAGTGATATTAACAATTATAGATATGTGATCATATATCTGTTTGTGATATCAGCCGGTTTAAGTATATTTTGGCTCCATTCAGTGGTATTAACAATTATAGATATGTGATCATATATCTGTTTGTGATATCGGCCGGTTTAAGTATATTTTGACTCCATTCAGTGATACAAACAATTATAGATATATGATCATATATCTGTTTGTGATATCGGCCGGTTTAAGTATATTTTGGCTCCATTCAGTGATATAAACAATTATAGATATATGATCATATATCTGTCATACATACACAATGTCCTTTCTACTTATGTACATCTTACTTCAAATCACAAATAGTACATGGGTAATATTCTTATCATTGAAATAAGTTTGAGATATTTTTTATGCGTTATTATTACCATATTTGACCGCAAATAAGCCCCATCCCCACTTTGGTAAATGTCCTGGGAACAGGGTGGGTGCGTGCAATTAAGTCCGCTCCCTAATTTTGTCTCCATCTCAAAACAAAATGTATGTCAATTTTTGTCTCTGACATAAGCAATTAGCTAAATGGATGCAAAACAACATAAACCCAAGTTTAAAAATTACAACTAACTTTGTTTCTCAGTAAGTAATCTGATGGGGACTATCCAACCTCCAGATTTCAGGAGTGACCAGGGATGTCACACAATTTAGATCTCACTAGTGACTTTGACCATCATTCTCACTAGACTGCACAAGTGACTAGAGCTGTCACGCCCTCTAAATCTCATAGGTGATCGTGTTGTCACACTGTTAGATCTCACAGGTGATTGAGGTTGTCACACTTGCTAGATCTCACAGGTGATTGAGGTTGTAACACAAGCTAGATCTCACAGGTGTCTGAGGTTGTCACGCCTGCTAGATCTCACAGGTGTCTGAGGTTGTCACACCTGTTAGATCTCACAGGTGATTGAGGTTGTCTCACCTGCTAGATCTTACAGGTGTCTGAGGTTGTCACACCTGGTAGATCTCACAGGTGTCTGAGGTTGTCACACCTGTTAGGTCTCACAGGTGTCAGAGGTTGTCACACCTGTTAGATCTCACAGGTGTGTGAGGTTGTCACACCTGTTAGATCTCACAGGTGATTGAGGTTGTCACACCTGTTAGATCATACAGGTGTTTGAGGTTGTCACACCTGTTGGTTCTCACAGGCATGTGAGGTTGCCACACCTGGTAGATCATACAGGTGGTTGAGGTTGTCACACCTGTCGGATCTCACAGGTGATTTAGGTTGTCACACCTGTTGTGTCTCTCAGGCATGTGAGGTTGTCACACCTGGTAGATCTCACAGGTGTCTGATGTTGTCACACCTGTTAGATCATACAGGTGATTGAGGTTGTCACTCCAGCTAGTTCTCACAGGTGTCTGAGGTTGTCTCACCTGTTAGATCTCACAGGGGATTGAGGTTGTCTCACCTGCTAGATCTTACCGGTGTCTGAGGTTGTCACACCTGGTAGATCTCACAGGTGATTGATGTTGTCACACCTGTTAGATTTCACAGGTGTGTGAGGTTGTCACCCCTGCTAGATCTCACAGGTGATTGAGGTTGTCACACATGTTAGATCTCACAGGTGATTTAGGTTGTCACACCTGTTGGTTCTCACAGGCATGTGAGGTTGTCACTCCTGGTTGATCATACAGGTGATTGAGGTTGTCACACCTGCTAGATCTCACAGGTGTCTGAGGTGGTCTCACCTGTTAGATCTCACAGGCGATTGAGGTTGTCTCACCTGCTAGATCTGTCAGGGGACTGGCATTGTCACATCTGCTAGATTTCACAGGTGACTGAGTTACATAGTTGCTAGATGTCACAGGTGACTGAGTTACATAGTTGCTAGATGTCACAGGTGACTGAGTTACATACTTGCTAGATTTCAAAAGTTGGGTTGTAGCACCAGTAGATGTGAAAGCTGGCCGGGGCTCTCATAGTCATTTGTTTTAGATTTAACAGCAGACTGAGGCTGTCAGAAATGTTTATTGTCATATTTCTAATGATTGCTTTTCATCTCATTTCAGTTATCAATCAATTCAAGCATACAGAACACCTCGTAAAGGCCAGAGACAGAGTAGAAATAATGTAAGTATGGTCTTTATTGTGTGTGAGACTCTCCGTAAGTTAGAAGGATTGGAATATCTCTGTATCAAAAGGTCTGTGATGTATGGTATCATCAGATAGTGAACTTTAGTGTACGTCGTGCAATATGACATATATATACCATCAAGTTTCAAATATTTCAAACTCTGTCTACCACAAACACCTGTCTATCTATACAACTCACATACTACAGAAGGATCTGTGTCTTACTGGTAAACAAGTGTCTTAGTAACAGTAGGTGTCTTCAACACATTGACATACAGATGTCTTACTGGTAAACAAGTGTCTTAGTAACAGTAGGTGTCTACAACACATTGACAGGTACAGAAGATCTCTGTACAACTCATTTACTATTGACAGATAATGTCCATAGTATATATGGGGCCGGGGTGGACAAGTGGTTAAGGCGTCAGACGTTCTGCTAGCACTTGGTGGCAGGTTTGAGACCTATGTGGGGCAGTCGCCACGTACTGGACGTAGGTCAGTGGTTTATCTCCAGGAACTCTGACTTTCCTCCACCACCAAAACCTGTCGCGTCCTTAAATAACCATAGCTGTTAATAGGACGTAAAACACAAACAAACCAAATCAAAGTCTATAGCATGTGTCTTACTAGAAATAAAAGTGTCTTATATAATTGTAGCAGCATTCCTGCTAGTCACACGCTGAAGACATTAAACACTGAATTGTGTCTTACAGATAATAACATACATTGTGTCACATTGTCTTAAGTCAGTCAAATCTCATGCCTGACTGATCGTTCAGAATTTTCATTCTCTCAGCTGTTGGCTCAAGCATTTATAAGTTAATATATCTGCTCTTTAAGTAGCACTTGTTTTTGTGAGTAACTTGACCAATCCTGGCTATGCCCGGTACACATATATTAAATCATGTACGAATGTTCCAGTACTTATTAGCTGGTGTATACAATGTGTTTGTAAGGGGCTATAGGTATTCCAGACAGTCCAAAAACAATCTTAAATGTACAAAGTCTTAACTAGACTTAACGGTACACCGACATTCAGGTTAACAAGCTCTGTAAGCTTTGAAATACCTTGTATGTGTTTAATACAGGTTTTGTGTAGGGTGTTTAATACAGGTATTGTGTAGGGGTTGGTTTGAATACCAATTCATGGTTCTTGGGTTTGTCGGTACATTGTTAATATGTACATGTATTAGCAAATGGAAACTGTAAAGTTGAATGGGTTTTGATTAAAAGTTGTACTTGGTACTAAAACACATTGGTGGGAGAGAATGCTATACCGAAAACCTGCTATGTCAGGTATGGTTGTATGTCAACACAATGGCTACCCACGTGTCATTTCTGGTCCTTAGAAACTAGCCTCATAAACATACATACAGTAGTGGAATAGATGAGGCTAGTTAAACAGGTTTATGCCCCTGTCATTTTATGGGAACGCATAAGTGTTACCCATTCTGTTATTGCTCTAGCACCTGCATTTCTTAACAGAATATATCTACTTTATACAGTGTTCAAGCATGAGAGTACCGTCAATGAATTCTAAAGTCAAGGTCACTGTTACTGTATATATATGTGTCAAGGTCACTGTTACTCTTCTTAGAAGTTTGTCAATCAATTAAGTGAAATTGATCACTCTAGCAACTTAGGATAAGACTTTATACAAAGTATGAGAATACTTCGAATGAGTTTGTATTTGAAGGAATCCAATGTCAAGGTCACTGTAACTATATATATGTCAAGGTCACTGCTATACATAGACATTTGTCAACCAATTAAGTGACAAGAAGTTCAAGAATTGCACGAGTATACCTTTAATTATTCTCGGCATGACTTTGTGTAAAATAAGAAATTCTCATGTAAATGTTCACATAGTGACTCTTAAGACTGATCTCAGTGTAGAAATTTCCACATTTGCAGTGGTCTGAAATCTACAGGAAAACCTCATTATACTGCTACCATTTCTCCAGAGAATTATGGCATTATAAAGGGGTTTGGCGATAAATTATAGAAATTATAGGAATTCTTAAGAAATAAAGAAAAAGGGACATTGAAATATTTCTTTGGTAAACAAGGTTGCAAATGAAACCAGGGTAATTATATCAAGATTTTACTGTATATAAACCAGGGTCATTATATTAAGGTTTTACTGTATATAAACCAGGGTCATTACATCAAGGTTTTACTATATATAAACCAGGTCATTATATCAAGGTTTTACTGTATATAAACCAGGGTTATTATATCAAGGTTTTACTGTATATAAAACAGGGGCATTATATCAAGGTTTTACTGTATATAAATCAGGGGCATTATATCAAGGTTTTACTGTATATAAACAAGGGTTATTATATCAAGGGTTTTCTGTATATAAAACAGGGGCATTATATCAAGGTTTTACTGTATATAAACCAGGGTTATTATATCAAGGTTTTACTGTATATAAAACAGGGGCATTATATCAAGGTTTTACTGTATATAAATCAGGGGCATTATATCAAGGTTTTACTGTATATAAACAAGGGTTATTATATCAAGGGTTTTCTGTATATAAAACAGGGGCATTATATCAAGGTTTTACTGTATATAAACCAGGGTTATTATATCAAGGTTTTACTGTATATAAAACAGGGGCATTATATCAAGGTTTTACTGTAT